TCGTACACGCCTTGGGCGCCTATCTTGGGCGTTCGACCATTTTTTTGCGAAAAAAAAGCCCTACAAATCGATTTGTAGGGCTTTTTAACATGAAATTGGTTCCGTAATCGACCTACCCAATGCATATTACACATAAAAGAGTCGAAATTACGTCAAAAAATCGAAGCCCAACCCTTCTTCAAGCTTGATTTCGAATTTTCGAATTTTTTTTTCTTTTTTTTTTTTGCTATTTGCAGTTTTGGGGGGTTTTTTGATATTTTTAAAAGTTTTGGGGGTTTTTGTTAGAAACCGCGAATAGCAATTTTGTGACCGCAAAATAATCATTTTTTTAAGTTGTGATATGAGAAAATACAAATAAATAGTAACTATTCATCCAATAAAGGGTTTTACGAATTAATTTTCTGAAATGATTTACACGGCAACAAAATTACGAATGTCGTTCACAATAGTTTTCTCTTTCTTTCTCTAAAAACTCCCAAATCCATCCAAACTCCAAAAGCCCCAAAATTCACAAAAAACCTCAACCTCTCTCCCAAATCATTCCAAATCCGAAAATCTCGTCAATTTGAAAGGTAATTAATCATCTAAACTAGTTATATATATTGAATTTGTGGTTAATTATGTGAAAATCCCCAAAAAAATCTCGATTTTGGGTTGTTTTAAGTGTTGGGTTTTCGAATTTTCCACGCCCAAAATGGGAGTGCGAAAGCAGTTTCCACGCCTAAACCAGGCGTGGAAACTGCTTTCACACGCCCATTTTGGGCGTGGAAAATTGCTTCGAGCGTTCGGGCCAGACGCCGGTTCTGGACCGGTCGTCCGGTTCAATTTTTTTTTGGCCCAGTATAAACAAAATGATGTATTATATTTAAATGAGTATTAGTTAATAAACTCGCTCTGGCCTAGTTGGTCAGGCGTCTCGTTTAATACACAATAGAGCTGTGTTCGAGTCTTCGCAGCAGCGTATATATTTGAAATTTATAGTGAAATGCATATATATAATTAAATAAGCTGATATGCTAAATCCCACACCAATTTTACCAAATATAATAACACACAATTGAAAATTTTTCTTTCTCTAAAATATCATTTTCTCCTTGCCCACCCTTCTTCTTTTTCCCTAACTTTTTCACAAACACACTAGAAACATCTATATCATTCCAAGTTCGAATTTGAGAAAAATCTTCATGTGTTCAAAGTAAAATAAAGTTGGAATTTGAGGAAAAAAAAATCAAATTGATATGAATTTAAATAATTAAAAAGGCATAATGAAATTGAAAAATATTAAATAAACCTAAACTCACTTTTTATGATTACTCACGTGAAAGATTAACGAATTTTGAGTGACTTGGAAAAAATCATCATAGAAAAAAGTTAGAGGGAATATAAGTAAAGAGAGATTTTTTTTAATTTATGTGTGGGATTTAGTAAATTTTAGTGTGGGATTTAGCATGCCTCTTAAATAAGTGTTGGTTTGTAACAACACAAATATATAATTTTTTTGATTAAATCGCGCGCGCTCAAACTGGGCGCGGAAAGCCGTGTTGCGCGCTCAAACTTTTTCGTGATTTATACAAGAAAAACGAACAAATTTTACTTCATTGGATTCCGTATCTCGATCCACATTCAATGCACGCATTTTTCTTTGCAAATCGCTACAATAACATGGGTTTTGGAACGGTTTCTAATATAAAAGCTATTAAAAATAAAATTGTAGAGAGAGAAAGATAGGTAGATAGTGGATTTTTTAAACCCGCATTCGTAATTTTGCTACCGCGAATATCACCTCCCATTAATTTTATTTCTTTTGTTAAAACTGAGAGGATAGAGATTTGAAGGAATTTAATTTGTTAGAGAGATTTTTATGTTGTGTTTGATTTGTGATACAGACAAGAAGATGGCCCAAGGGGCGAATCCTACTTACTGGGAGATCTAGCCCAATAAGGCCCACCACGAGGCGCGATTTAAAGAACAACCCATGCAAATGGTCTTTTCTTGTCACAATGACCTAGCGAAGAAAGCACTCCGCCGATAGCCGAATGGATATGTGGTGCTCGGAATGGCGTCGCGTTGACTCCACTTAGCACATTAATGGCTCTGGTACGTAGAGACGCAATGATGACCTCGGCAAGCGCGTCTTGCACATCGATGCATTAAATACGCTGGCACCAGCATTTAACGGCCGAAAGATCGTCGACAATCAAAAAAGGGGAAAATATCTATTGAAACGTACAAAAAACCTACTTATTATGGGGACACATGATTGGCTACGTTTGATTAACTAAGAATGATTACACGAACTGTCCAGAGGATGCATAGAGTTGGTAAGGAGGACGACGGAAACGACGACAATTATATGATCTTCTCAATTTTCAAGAGTTTATGTGGTCCGAATAAGTATGTTATAAAGGGAGCATGCTCCCACCCATGGGAGGTAAGTTTTTCTTATATTACAAAAACGAGTCCATTTATTCCCAAAATGTATACACTAATCGACCTCTTGATCGTTGGACTACTAACTCCGGCGACAATCTGGTTTTCCATTTCTTAGCAGCTCTGTTATGTTCGAAAGCCTCAGGCTTCCACATTCATTGCAGCTGCGAAGGAACCATCCGATCGACGTGTCTTGGGAGCGGATCAATCTGGTAGAGAGATTTTGAAACATTAAGCTTAATTTGATTAAGAGTATTTTTATCATATACTGTATAATAAACTTAAAGAAAAATAAGACTTACGATATGGATTTATTTCAATAATAAATCTAATATCTAGCAGCCTATAGGTAGTCAAAAGGAAAAAGACCATATAATATTGCAAATTAAAAAGAATTCCTAAAATTTAATAAATTAAGATATGATTATTCTTAAATTGGAAATATATTTACAAAATCATATCTAAATCCATTCATTTATTAACTATAATTAGTCCATTGAGAACTAATTCAACCAAATCTAATTTAAATTAATGTCCATTCATATTACCGAACAATCGGATCGTTGATTATTTATTATTATTAAATGACGAAAGTAAAGTGGGAAAAATAATTTATTGGAAAAAGACGTTATAGGGAGGGGGGCTCCGCCGCTCCGGCGATGGGGATCGGAGAGGAGAGGGGAAACCCATTCTCCGGCGGTCCGGCACCTCTCCGAACCCCCAAATTTCGATCAACGTTAGTAATCCCTTTCTCGGCCATTTAAATTTCCACCACTGAACTGCCAGTTGCCGCTTCTCGCCTGAGTACTTTCTTCCACGGTGGCGTTAGCTCCTGAATCCAACACTACCACCACCGCCGACCTAGATCAATACACGAAGGTATAGATTTCATAAGCCTATGTATAAAAAATCAAGCAGTTTATGGGCTTGAAGTTTCTTTCCTTTATTTAATTCAATTTTTTTTTTCTTCTGGATTGGGTTAATAATTTGCGATTTGCTTTAATTGTGATGTTGGATTGTTGCATTTATATTTGTGATTCTATAATCAATGGAAATCAACCGTAGATTTAAATTCGATTAGGGAAATAAGGAGCCAATATTAAGAACAGCTCTAAAGATTAATTTTTATTTTGTTCTTCAAATTTTATGATAAATTATCGAATCTCGATAAGTTCTGATTTCCAATTTTACATCTGTAGTGTTCAGCATTGTCGATTGTTGGAAACAAAAAAAAGTTAAATGATATACTTGGCAATAAATGTAAAATTTGATGTGCGGAAAATGGAGAAGAAGGAAAACAAACCAGGGTAATCTAGCATTAGAATAAATAAATTTGATCGTGAATACAAACAGTCCCAGAATTAGAAGAACATAGTCAAGGAATAACAGAAACGAACTCGAACAAAATTCCAAAATGATATATTTTTTTTAATGTTCTTTCACATTGGCGCACACGAACAAGCAAACGTAAATTAAAAAGAACCAGACACCTAGATATGCTGTTCTTGGTATTAACTTCACAGCATTTATTGAATTTTTCAACTGTTGAATTTTCTAAAATTTGTAACGTATAACTAAAATGCTAAGATTTGGGGTTTCCCCTGCAATTTTTTTCTGTTTTCTAGAGTAATCTAATCTGACTGTATTAGATTGTCTCGTTCTGCTCTCGTATGGGAGTTCCTTTATACAATTTCTACTTATTTGTAGTTTTTGTTTCAAGGGAGTGCTTTTCTAGTGATTCTTTTAAGTTGAAGAAGAAAATTCTAACGAGTTGATAAAAATTAGAGTTTTTATTAATGATTTGTTCTTGTTTTGTTAAATAATTGATACAGGCTAAGTTAGTACATCGGATATACCTGCTAAGATGAATATAGTTGCGATTTTAAATGATAAATCTACCAATGCTCGTTCATTAATTAATCAATTTTGAACAATAGAAACTTTTCTAGCTTTTTGGTGTGGGTTCTTCACATTTATCTTAAAACGAACGAGCATACTCGGGAACAAATAGTATTCTTTGCTTTTGTGCTCTTTGCCAAGATTCGAATGAGCATCGAACATTGGCTGGGTAGTCTACGAACTTGTTCTATTAAATCATCTAAGTTAGATACTCATCTTAAAGAGCATTAAACAAAGAAGAAATAATCTAATCATATTTGATGAAGGTATACAATGTTGATCAGCCGAGCCAGCACATAGTATTATTTCTTTTCTTTTGTCATCAATTTGCTGTTTTGGTCAATCCCCGACACTACATGCTGATTTAAACACTAATAATAACGACAGCGTAGCTTTATTTATTTTTTTCGTTGTCCATTCCTACCAAAATACCGTACAGTTCATTTTTCATTTTCTTTCTTTATGTGGCTACATATATGAAATGCCTGTCACTGTTTTACTGCGAAGGAGGTCGCACAACTCACGACTTCTGATTACAATTTCTCTCAATATGCGATAGGTATCTTCAAGGTCACTGAAGCTCCTCTTTATTTTCTTGAAACGTTTCTTCGCCACCACCATCACCTTCTTTCTTGCGTCAAAGTCTTTTGTAGCTGCTCTGGCAATAAAGTTTCTTACATCATCAATCTCTTCTAGAACCTTCTTCAGCCAAGAAACGTCCAGCTGCCCAATTGCTGCCATGTCAGCAAGAATCATCATATTGCTCAATTCAGAAAGGACGTAGTCAAGGTTGTCTCGTATGAGCTTTATAACAACATCGCATACTATCTCGAGCAGTTTTGCGGTGGAGTCTGGAAATATACTGAGCAAGGAGTTTGCAGCAAAATTTCCATACTTGGCGAAAATAAACCAAAGTATAGGTGTTAAGCTAGCCTTCACTCGGTGTCCAAACATATCTTCTATTTGATTCGATGAACTTTATCCTTCAGAGTAATCTGTTGATTTTCTATGGGCACCCGTCTTAAATAGTAGCTTATCGGCGTGAAAAAGTTGGTCGGGAAAGAAGATGTCGCAAGGAAAATTTCATTGAGATATCAAGTTACATGCTTGGGTCTGTTTTAAGGTAATTCATTGTTTATCCTATCGATTACATTATGCCGTTCATATTGTTGCAACTATTGAAAGAATAAAAGTATATTTCACAATTATACACCATGTAAATCCAGTCTCAACAGCATTTTTTTTTCCTTCTGCATATTAGCATAAGATGGAGCATATCTTCTCTCGTTCGTGATTGCACCATATAAAGAAACAGGGTATGATATTTTCCATGTAAGGAAAAATTGGAATTAATCTGAAATATGTGAATGAAATGTTAATCACGGATGAAGCGAATCTTCCACTCTATTGCCTCTTTATAGTATTTACGCCACCAATGCTGTACAAAACAGGGTAATATTGATTATTTGATTCGCATCTGAATATAGTTACTCTATCATATACTATTGGTTCATGTACTAGGAACATCACTCATAATTTATAGAATACAAATCCCAAATCCATTAACTAAAATTACTAAATCTAGCATTTATATTGAGGAATATCCATGTTTACTCTTCTGGCCTAAACTAATTGTTCAATGATTCTTTTTGGTTTTTTTGCATTGAAGGAGATTTTTCATGCTTAAGAAGTCGACTGATAATATGCGGCTCCTCATCTTTCTTGAGGTATAGACCCCCCTTGCAAATATTTTAAGTTTTTTTTATTTTTTTATTTTTATTTTATTTTATTTTATTTTATTTTTTTTATGCACAAATAGTTTTTAAGTTCACAATATCTTTCGCAGTTGTTGAAATGAAAAACCTTGTTAATGGGAAATTAAGTTGGTATATCAGGTGTTGCTATTTAGTAGATATCCATTTAAGACAGCATCATCATATAAATTTCATGTAATCCAGCACAAAATTGGATCTTAAAGTCCTATTAGAATCAGGTCAAAGGCTTTGTGAGAAATTGAAGATCTCCGGAACTAAATGGGTTAATATTACCATAAGCATTCTATGCAAAGGCCACGGGAAACAAATGCTAAACTCAAGCTAGAGTAAAGTAGATAAGGTAAGAAGTTTATCATTCCGCATGCTGAATTGTGAAAGAGAGATAAAATTGAAAATTTGAAAAATATTTAAGAATATGTATTAGTCCATAATGAAGATGGAAAAAAAAGAAAAGCAAATTTAAAATCTTTCCACAGGTATTTACTATACTACCATGATTTCTTGGATTTTGCCTACCAAATTTGGACCATTTTCGCAAATTCAAATGCCGTGTTTCGAGGGGGTGGGGTGGGTGGGGTGGGGGGGGGGGGGGGGCCCCCCCTGTATTCCCCTATTGGAAAACCTAACCCAAAAAATGGAAAAAGGGGGTAGGCCCCCCCGGCCAATGGGGGGGCCCATTTTAAACAACACCCCTTTTTTTTTTTCCGGGATTCTTGGAAAAAGGGTTTCCAAAAATTACATCCTCCTTGGGGTTGGCAGGGGTTTTCTTTGGGGTGGGCCTTTTGGAAAAAAAAAAAAAGGGTTCCTCCAAATCCCCCAGATTGGGTTTTTTTAAGGGGGAGGAGGTTAAAAAAAAATTCCTTTAGGGATGGGGATCTCTTCTTTAAAACCCCCTTCCCATAAAGAGGTCTTGCAAAAAATGGAAACCGGGCCCCCAAATTATGGTTAACCCTAAACGGGCCAAAATGGATAAATTTTGGGGTTTTATG